CACACACACATACTGCACAATGCACACACACACATAGGATTTTCTAAGCAATTTGCACACATATATAGGCTCTTTCATTCTACCATCTTTTCATTTATTTGTTCACATACCCGATTCCTACCATTCAAATAGACTGGGATCATTCATGTCATCTACTGTCATTTGTTATAATCACTGCGAACGACCGTGTTTTTACTTGTGAATCGAAGTGCGTGTATATATGTTAATATTCATAACTCACTGTATGTACCATTCCGCAACTAGGAGGAAGATGTATTCACTGAGCAGGCTTTGTGTGACGTTTAAAAAACTATGAAATGATTGTTTACTTCAGACCTGACGATGTGCTATGCACGAAACAGTTGTCTCATTTTCTTGGCCCTATTTTCAATACAATTATTAGCATGAGGCTTAGGGTTTTCATTGCATTTATATATATAATCATGAGCCTTAAAACCGCGCTTTCTTTCATCATTCGACAGGGAGTGGATCTTATTTTGAGCCACACAAGTAATTGGCCTGCCCTGAAAGCCGGGCGCTGCGACTAGCGCCTTCAGCCTCATCGGGTCAAGCGAGATACGTACGTCGTCCACTCCAGAAGTTTTGAGACTGCCCTCGTAAAAGCCCTATTAACAGTGCTAGATTCTTGTCGCTTTCATGTGTCCTTACCACAGTTGTCGTAAACGTACTTGCATCATTTTGTTTTTGTACGTTGCAAGAGACGGCTAGGGCATCACCCTGAACACGGCAAGTCGCAAGCGGCTTGTCACAGCGGCCAGTGCACAGCATGGTCAGGCTGTTAATGTGAGGACAACTTTGAGGGTCGCTAGGCAATACAATTTTGTGATTAGCTTGATAAAATACCCCAGAAACATTTAAAAATAACACTTCAGTGACTTGGGACGAAAGCTGGATGTATTTTTACCGATCCAGACACCAAGAGACAAAGTGTTCAATGGAAGCACACTGACTCCCCCAGACCCAAGAAAACCAGGCAGAGCAGGTCCACTGTGAAGCTCATAATAATCCTGTATTTTGACAAAAAGGCATTATATTCATTAGCTGGGTCCCGTGCACGGCCAGATGATTAACAAGGAATGTTTCATGAAAGTTCTAGGGGAGTTGAGAAAGGGAATTCGCCGCAAGAGATCCGAACTCTTCAAATTTGGCCAGGGGCACCTGCACCAGGTCAACGCACCCACCCACAAGTCCATCAAGGTGACGAGCTAACTAACACAGATGAGCATCAAAACTGTCCCTCATCCTCCCCACAGTCCAGATCTGGCCATCTGTGGCTTCTGGATGTTCCCCAGAATGACAGAGAAGCTCAGGGGACGCCGGTTGGAGGATTTGGAGGAGATGAATGAGGCTGTGACAGAGGCCCTGGGCACCTTCACTTTGGGAGACTTCCAGCGGGCCTTCAAGAAGTGGCTGGAGCGCTACAACAAGTGTATTGAACTCGGGAGGTCTCATTTCGAGAGTCACTGAAGTTTCATGCTGTTCTGAAACAGCAAACTGTCTCTAATGAAAAAGTCTCAAAACTTCTGTATAACGACAAAACAGACCCTGACCTGACCAGTGGAAAACAAAGATACCGCTCTCTGCAGCAGATAAACCGGCTTAACTAACCGAGCTCGTCACTGCAACCAGAGTTGACGTCAGTGGGGGGGAGGGAGTGGGGGGGGGTCGATGTCGTCACTCGTCGACCTGATTATATAAGACCTGAATAAGTACTGCAGGGGTTTACAATTTATAAGATCTAAAATGATATTTCATGGTAAGCTGTTAAGTTTAAACCCTACGACACAGAAAAACAGCGTTAGGCTGACATTCTGATGTCAAAAAGGATTCCTATATTAATTCACATTCTGTTGGCCTTTAGAAGATTAGGTACATCGTCATCCTCCCACGTTGTACGCCGCCTTCATGCCATCCTGGATGTTTGTAGGTAAAATGGCAATTCTCAGTCACCTAAAGCGCAATAAAAGATTGGTCCCCGTTCCAATATGAGCGCAGTTAAACTTAGCTCATGCAGAAATAATTAATAGCATTTTCCTGTTTCGTTCGACGTTGTTTTTCCGTGACCACCCTCTTCATCGATACCTCCTAAGAGTGCTGTGATTGCGACATTCATGAATTCCTTCTGTCGTCTAAAATGGGTCGAAAAACAAAATGCTGATGATATTTTTGGCGATGGACTTTCTTCAGTGGTAAGCTGGACTTTCTTCCACTGAAGAAAGTCCAGCACCGAAAATTCATTCTGGATTTCATTTCGGCTCTTCTTGGGCATCAACAAAAGGTTGTCATTCATACTTGCGCAATCGTAATAATAATAACGTTGCAAGCAATCAAAACTACAGGGTGTTTCAAAAGTTCGTTGACACGTTTACAGCGGAAAAGCCTTTGCTTTTCCGTCAAAAATTATCCCGCGCCCCGCCCGCTGGACTATTCAGCCATACGCGCCCTGCTGGGGGGAGGGGGGGGGGGGGGCAGATTCTGCCCCCCTGTCTAACTTTCGAACCGATGGTCGTAGAAAGACGGGGAAAACGGCAATCGAAAGCTCTCACCGAGACGGATCTAAAGAGCCGATTTTTTTTTGCTTATGTACGTCAGAGGTCAGGTCAAGGTCAGGTCAAGGGTACAAAATGCAAGTTTCTACAGTATCGGCCTTGTACCGTAGTTGCCGAAGAATGGACTGAGACTGGTTGCCCAAAACTTGTTCTTAGACTACCAAGACAAGATTTGTTGCATACCATGTCCTGCAAAGGTCAAGGTCAAGGTCAGGTCAGGTCACCAAAAACGAAATATAGAAAAGGGCATGTGTAACACATGTTTTATGGGTCAATGCAGGCACACTCAATTAGTGATATGGACCACATCTTGATGAATTTCAGATCGAGGCCAGGTCAAGGTCAGGTCAAGTGAGGTCAAATTTTGAAGTTGATTGTTAAGACGTGAAAAGGTGTCTATCTGATGCAGTTTTTCACGGCGAATCGAATGGTGCTATTTTTGTTTCCGTACGAGGTCTACAAGGTCTGTAGAACTTCCAAAAAAATCATTTTTCGAAACTTTTGTGTGTCGTGACGTCATAAAAGTTTGAATAACTCCCACACTTTTGAACGGATTTTTTTTCTAAAAATTGGCATGTAGGTGCACATAGACCACTTCTCTCACATACTTTCCGTTTTTTCGATAAACAAAAAAAAAAAAATCATAATGATTTTCCAAGTCAATTTTTTGAAAATTTTGGGCCAAAATCCAAAATTTTTAAAACACCAAGATAGCCATTTGATGGGCAAAGTAGAATCACGTATAAACTTTTTTGTTACGTCTTGATTGCTTTAAAAATGAAGATGTTAGTGGCGTTTGAAGTTTTGCAGTTGTTGAAGCGAAAATGGCGTGACATGACGCCACTCAAACGTCATTTTCTTAAATATTTTCTGAATGACTTCACTCAAATTTTCAGGGAACGTGTTAATCCGCGCCCCAGTGGCGGTCTCCGCCAACTTCGCCCTAGTGGGGGGGGGGGGGGGGCATATGTTACCACCCACCTCTAACTCAAAAACTAAGAGGGCTAGAAAGACGCGGTAAAAAGCAGTCGATAGCTCTTGATGCGAGTACGTTTGAAAGTATTTCCGTCATTTTTCATCTTAGAGCAATATTGGGGTCACCAGAGGTCATCAAAGGTCAAAATTTGCGAATTGTCATTATATTTTTCAGAAAACATGCCATTATCTCAGGAACTATGATAGCTAGAAAAACGCTGGGAAAAGCAATCGATAGCTTTTGAACTCTTCTTTTGATAAGGTTATCATCAAAAATGACCTCAGGTCAACGGTTTAGCCTCCAGAGGGCAAAAACTCCAAAAATAGCTGTTTTCAAGAAAAGGGTTTTCCGACAATAACTTTTGACTAAAAAAAGCTAGGTCATTTCTAATGCCAGAATCGTGTTCCTCTCGCCGAGACGCGTCGAATGAACTATAATTTGACCTTGAAAGGTCAACTTCAAAATTTGACCTCAGGTCAAGGTCATGACCTGACCGGAAAAGGTCATGTTGCATATCAGTCGATGCGTCTCGGCAAGACAAACACAATGAGGCCAACTCCAGCGTTCTATCTCTTTCCAATCGAGAGTTATTGGCAAAAAAACTGTTTGTAGCCTCAAATGACCTCGGATGACCTTTCAAGAGGCTATCAGCAAAAACGACACCTTGGTCGTCACGGGTGGTCAAAATCATTGTTATCCTGAAATATTTGGACTGTTCCTATGCGTACACACGGATCTAGAGGCATTTTCGTTTTTCTCCATTGACTTATAATGGAAAGGTCACACCACTGACCTGACCTTAGGTCACGCATATAAAAAATCCGAGATATACAAATTGTAGGCACCCATAACATCATGTAATCCACCAAGTTTGAAACCTCTCTGACAAACACTGCAGGCTGGACATGATTGCAAACTTTTTTTTAGGCTTGGTCAGTTAACTTGACCTAGTGACCTGACCTGACATGACCTTGGGTCAAAAATTTCACACATTGTCCAAAATTGATGTACCAAAAGCTACCCCAAGCGGCGCGGCGCTACGCGCCGCGGTTTTTTTATTTATACGAAGAAAAAAAACGCGACAGGGTGGTAACATATGCCCCCCCCCACTCTGGGGCGAAGGTTAAATTGATGTAAGATAAGGCACATATAACAGTAGTACGTACTTTGTTACCTGTGGATAAGGTATTGAAAGTTTGACGTAGCTGGCGTTACGCGTTTAGAAGTTATTGGCGAAAAACGGGAGGGGGCAGATTCTGCAGCGGGGCGCGGGCTAGATGGATCCCTCCGCAGTTATAGGTGAATGCGGAGTGTAGGCCATAAGACTTTCGGAATGTAGAGCTTGTTTCAGAACGGGTACGCTGCTAATTACCGTTTGTTTCAGAACGAGTACGCCGCTGAGCATGTACGGTTTGTTTCAAAATCAGTACGCCGCTGGGTACGGTTTGTTTCAGAACGAGTACGCTGCCGAGTACGCCAGCTACCAGAAGGAAAAATGGGCGGAGGTCATCCAGTGGGACTGGATGAAGATTAACGACCCCCTCACAAGACGCCAGTTCAAGCACTTCTCCACACTCGGGCCGGCGGCGCTGCCCGACGAAAAGTTCAAAATGGTAATATTACATTACGCCATGCCTTTCATTGTGGAATGTAGGTAAGCAGCCCATACGGGCATTTTGCGCATCCAAGCGGAAGAAATAATTCATTATGCCTTCAGCTTGTCACGGATCAAAACTGATCATGTTATGCGTTGTCGACAACAACGCAATTCGATACATTCTTTTCACTAACGTCATTTCGTTGTTTTAGTATACCGACCTCAGAAGTAAGCTCAAGAAACGCTATGGCTCTGCCACAATATGCGACTTCAATGACCCGAAGAAGTGTGACCTTCGACTCGAACCAGGTACGTTGACTCATTTCAATAATGTATGTATTGCAAGTACCATCTAATAAGACCAAAAACGAATCTCGTACGAGTGTGATTGCTTATAGCATTTGCAACAAATCATTGTGTAGAACCTTAATTTAAGTCGGAATGACATAAGACGACCCAAAAGCTATCAGAGAATGTATTATATGCATTTGCATAAAATAAAATGAGCGCTTGTAAATATTCGATTTAGCTGGTATCTACTTCAACTAACATAAAGTCTCCATTAGGACCCATTAAGTGCATCCAAGCATCCCTGCTTGGATGCCTTGGATGCACCTGTACACTGTACTTTTAAGACATACCTGTACACTGTACATGAGTGTACAGTCTGTCTTAACCCGCGCCCTGGTGGGGTCTGTTTATAACGCGACCTGGTGGGGGGGGGGGCTATTTTTTGCCCCCCCCCCCCCCCTCGTATCTCCGAAACTACTGGACGGATCCGCAAAATTCAAACGGCGTTCGAAAGGCCTGTCAAATTTGTCGAGGGAAACCAAATTTCATTGACCTCGGGGTCACCGATGACGTCACAGGTCAGGTCAAAGATGAAATGTTTCACCGTTCACGGGGCTTCTAGGGAATGCGCTATAACACCGAGGAAAACGCATTTTGTCGAGAATCAGCGGTAGGGCGTCAGTTGCCTAGTAGATATGTTGCTATTAGAGGTCACTGGCAATACCAGGTCAGGTCACAGGTCAGGTCACCAAGGGTCACAGGTCAGGTCACATGAGCCCAACTTTACTAAGGTTGTGTGATACATGTTTTATGGCCAATTTTTCATTTCCAACTCAATGGTGTTGGTTATAAGACTATCAGGTACGGCTTATGTCACTTTCTGGTGAAGTTCAGGTCAAGGTCAGGTCAAGGTCAGGCCAAAAAAGGTCAAATTTTAAAGTTAATAGTTTTGCATAAAATGGGTATTGATTCGATGCAGCTCGTCACGGGGAGTCTAATGGTGGTCTTCGTTTTGCGCTACGGGGTCTAGAATTGCTAAAAATTGAGTTTGAAAATTTGAGGTCATCAATTTTGAACAGTTTTTTCGCTATAGCTTCGCCAAAAAAAGAGGTATCAATCTCAAATTTGGTATGTGGATGGAAGGCGGTAAGGACTATCACATATATTCCGGTTTTTGCGAAATTCAAAAAACTTTTTGGATTTTTCGATTATCATATCCGAAAAATCTATTTTTTGAATTTTGGGGGTCTAAATCCAAAAATTTCAAAAATCCGAGATAGCAGTTTTGTAGCCCTGTCCAATCTACAGCTTTTATGTCTTAATCATTTTTCTGTATTTGCAAAGCTATAGGCCTGACAGCTCTTCCCGCGAAACCTTTTTTTGGGTCGAAAACGGCAGAACATGACGTCACTCTGACGTCATTTCCGGCCAACCTATCATAGCCTTTGGAAAAATTTTTGGTCACAATGTGTAAAATTGATGTCCGGGAGGGTACTGGAAGTTTCGTGACGATCGGCGCAGCGGTTCTGGAGATATATTGAAAAGTCTGGAGGGGGGGGGGGGGGGGCAAAAAATAGCCCCCCCCCACCAGGTCGCGGGTTAAAAGTACCGCGCAAAGTGACGGTGGATCCATCAAGCCTGACAGAGGAAGGGCCTGCTAAATTTGAGTCACCGAAGCAATTGACATCCTCGTCCATTCCCCAGGTCAATTGGTTCGGTGACTTTCAAACTATAGCAGGCCCTTTTTCGGTCAGGCAGGCTTCATGGATCCACCGTCACTTTGCGCGGTACTTTTAAGACAGACTGTACAGTCTGTAGACAGACTGTACAGTCTGTAGACAGACTGTAGACAGACTGAACAGTCTGTCTTAAAAGTACCGCGCAAAGTAACGGTGGATCCATCAAGCCTGACCGAGGAAGGGCCTGCTATAATTTGAAAGTCACCGAACCAATTGACCTGGGGAATGGACGAGGACGTCAATTGCTTCGGTGACTCAAATTTAACAGTCCCTCCACGGTCGGGCTTGATGGATCCCCGCACTGTTGCGCGATACTTTTAAGACAGGCTGTACAGTGCACAGTGTATGCACTCCAAGCGCCGTCTATTATATCCTGAGTCCTGAGAACTTCCATTCAGGACAGGTAGCTAATCTAACACTGCGGTTTCACGTTTCAAGAGCTGGAGGACATTATGATGAACAGCACAGATCCGGATGAGTTGAAGCACGTTTGGCTGCAGTGGAGAGAACAGTCTGGCAAAAAGATGAGAAAAGACTACATACAGTTCGCCGGCCTCATAAACGACATTGCTTGGGCCAACAGTGAGTAATCAGCCATTTTCGTTTTCATCAAATAGCCACAAGACGCTTTAGGTTACCAGCGTCTCAGCATCCTCGAGTCATGGATCTTGCTTCGAAGCTGGCTCGGATTTTAACGACTTCTCATTGGACGTCACACCACAAGCGGGGCTTTGATTGGTGTTTGCGCTGTGACCTGATGTGTGATTGGTGCTCGCGCCGTGACCGCCTCTGTGATTGGTGTTCGCGCCATGACCTTGTCTGTGATTGGTGCTCGCGCCGTGACCTTTGGTCTGTGATTGGTGTTTGTGCCGTGGCCTCGTCTGTGATTGGTGCTGGCGAAGTAACCGTGTCTGTGATTGGGCAGACTTCACGGACGGCACCGACTGTTGTGATTAGTAGCCTCTTACCTTTTTTTTACCTTCACCCGTGACCCGTGTTGATGTACCCTACCTTTCCTCACCCAGTAAAACTTTCCTCTATTTGCCCGCCCCTGTCCTGAATCCATCACTTTTTGTTAGTGATGTAATGCTTCCATTTTTCACCGAGCCGATTTCGTTTTGTTTTTATCCTTTCCAGTCGGTCTGGATCCATCTGTCGCCGTGTTACCGCTACCTGTAAAGTAATAAACCGGCAGAGAAGTTGACGTTGGAATTTCAAGTTGCTAACCAGAGGAATCGGCCTGTAATTTTAGCGTATCTACTACATAGTCCTCCGGGCCGGATGACTGTTTTTTCAGTCATTTGCTTCTTTGTTCTTTGCTGATTGCTTTGAAGATTTGCGCTGTGATTTGACATCAAGATGCCTGACAAGATGAGTGAGGAAGTGGAGGTGTTGGTGAAGGACAGAACTCTGCTTAGAGGTAAGGCCACAAAGCTGACCCGTGACTTGAAAGACTACAGGGCAGGAGTAGTCGATCAAGATGACTTGGCGTACAAAATTCATGTTTTGGAGCAGCTAGAGCAGAAGATGGTTTCTTTGCAGGATGTTCTGACTGTCAAGGGAGTGTTTGACGAGAGTTCACATTTAGATGGCATCAGGGAGGAGGTTTTCAAGGCAAAACGTCATCTGTCAAGGATTGAGAATGTGTCTGCTCAACCAGCCCCAGCTCAGTCTGACTCTACTGACCTGAGGGCATCTGATGTAAAGATTCCAGTATTTTCTGGAGATCTGTTACAGTGGTCAGAATTCTGGGACCTGTTTGAGGTTGCTGTGCACACCAATTCAAGGTATGTGAATGTACAGAAGTTCAGCATACTAAAGAGCCACCTCTCTGGTTTAGCACTGCAATGTGTTAAAGGTATACCAGTGTCTGATGCTTGCTACCAGTCAGCTGTGGATGCATTGAAAGACCGATTCTGTAAAATCGAGAGAGTGAGGGAGGAGATCATGAAAAGGTTGTTGAACATGCCCAGTGTCAGTGACGACCTATCTGCCATGAGATCCTTCATAGACCATCTGATGTCACATGTGAGGACACTGACCGCGATGGGAGTAAGCTGTGCTAACCTGTCGAGCCTGCTTCTTCCCATAGCCAAGGGAAAGCTGCCAGAGTCGTGGAGGCTCGAATGGGCGCGCCAGCACCAGCCGGATCCAGGGTTGGAGGACTTCCTCGGGTTTCTTCGCAAGGAGATGGACATGAGGGAGGAAGCCAACATCGGCGCCAGGCATCCTGTCCCTCCGGAACGGAGCCCACTGCACTCAGTGAGTATGCTGGCGGTGAGTCGGAACCGAACAACCCCTGCCAGTGCTGCATGGACCTGCGTGGCTTGCCAAAAGGATAAACATGGCCTGAGCAAGTGTCTTGACTATCAGAGAATGTCTGTTGATGATAGATGGCTTGTAGTGAGGAGGGCTGGTTTGTGCTATCAGTGCCTGGGGCCGCACTTTGCTCGTGACTGCCGCAGCTCCAACTGCCGTGTGTGTGGAGAGCGACACCACACCAGCCTCCACAGTGAGCCAGGACGCCAGCCCGGAGCTGGTACCCGTGACCGACGGCCGCCCGCACACCGAGCGGACAGCCGTCCCCAGCAACTGCCTCCCTGCCGCGAGGGGAGCTACCTACCAGATCTGCCACCGCCAACGCCAGTTGGTCAGCAACCTCAACGTCCAGGTTGGTCGCCCGCTGTTCCCCGCCAGGCCATGAATGTCACCGCTGCTTGCGCTGTTGATGTGCCACAGCCAGTCTTACCAACGCCAGTCTCACCACAGCCGCTAGTGCCATCATCCAGCACTACCGCTAGGGTGAATACCGCTTGTGCTATGCCCGACGTGCATATGACGCCGTGTGCTGTCGCTCACTGCTCACCTGATGCTTGCCCGCTGGAGGCTGCTCCGTCTGACCGACCTGCTGCATGCGAAAACTTGTGTTACATGCAGACAGCTCTGGTGGAGGCGTCTGGACCGCGGGGTACCTGCCAGCTTCGCGTTCTTCTCGACGGCGGCTCGGACTCGTCGTACGTGAGGACATCTGCAGCGGAGCTACTCGGTCTGCCCACGGTGGGGAGAGGTGTGTTCGCCTGCCTGGGCTTCCAGGAGCGGCTCGAGGAGCCGAGGATGTATGAGAAGGTGAGGCTGTCTCTGCGGAGCCGTCACGGTGGGGAGCCTCACGTCTTCGATCTGTGGAAGACTGATCGTCTCTGTTCCCAACTGACCCCCGCCCGACCGCCTACTGCCGTATTTACACCGCATCTTCTGCTTGCTGATGATTTTGAGGGTGGGCCGGTGGACGTGTTGATCGGCGCCGACCTGATGTACAGAGTTGTGTTGTGGGAGCAGGTGAAGCTGACTGACCATCTCAGGGCCCTGGAGACTGTGTTCGGCTACGTCCTGCACGGCCGAGATGGGTCACCGGTGGACTGCGAGCCGGTGGACTGCGCGTCTGTGAAGTACGCGCTCCGTTGCTGCCGGCTTCCGTCGCCAGACTTCAAGCCGGAGCAGCTCTGGAGTCTGGAGGCGCTCGGCATCTCCGGGGACGAGGACGAGAGATCACCGATGAAGCCGAAGTGGAGTGACGCCGAACAGAGGTACGAAATGAACCTACTGTGGAAGTCTGATGATCGCCCCCTCTCTAACCTCAGCTCAGCAGCAGCCCGGATCGGACGCATGGAGGGACGGCTCACAGTCCCCGAGCGGGAAGCGTACCAGAGACACCTGGAAGATCTGTATAGAGCCGGCGTGATCGAGACGCCGCCCAACGATGACCTACAAGGGTTCTACCTGCCGCACCGCGGCATCTGGCGCGGTGGAAAGCTGCGGGTGGTCTTCGACGGCTCTGCCCGGGACGCCACTGGCCACAGCCTGAATGACTACCTGGAGCCGGGAAGCAATCTGCTCAGACGTCTGCCTGCCGTGCTGCTCAACTTCAGACGAGACGCCGTGGGAGCTCAGACAGACATACGTGCTGCCTTTCACCAGGTTTCGGTGTCCGAGGAGGACCGAAAGTACCTACAGTTTCTGTGGGACGGACAGCGTCTTCGTTTCCGCAGAGTTCCGTTCGGTATAACATGTTCCCCATTCATGCTGCTGCAAACTATCTCTGTTCACCTGGACCTGTACTGTGGGGAGGAGCCGGGTCTGTGCGAGAAGTTGCAATGTGGCCTGTACATGGATGATGTGTGCACCTCCTTCTGCAGCAGAGCCGAAGCTGAGTCGAGCATGTCGCGGGCGGAGGAGATCTTCCGCGACGCAGGCATGGAGTTGCACAAGCGGCGCATCTCCGGTGACGCTGACAGCGAGGCCAACGTTCTGGGTCTTCTGTGGAACCCCGCCACGGACCTGCTCGCAGTGAGTGTGCCTGGCTTCCATGTGGCCAAGACCAGGAGAGAGATGCTGTCCCTGCTGAGTAAGCCGTTTGATCCGCTCGGTGTACTCTCTCCGTGGCTTGTTGTCGGCAGGTCTCTGTTCCAGAGAACGTGGGGAGTCGGATGCACGGTCAGCTGGGATGAGGAGCTGCCCCCACAGCTACAGGAGGAGCTAGCAGAATGGCTCACAGACGCACCAGACCGAACTATATGGTTCCCCCGCGCGCTGCTGACGAATGACTGTGACGTCACCTACCATGTCTTTTGTGATGCCTCAAAGAAAGCGTATTGTTGTGTCATCTACGCTGTGCAGGGTGGGGAGTCCAGGCTGCTCATGTCCAAATCTCGTCTCGCGCCCCTGACTCCCGCCCTCAGCGTGCCCAGACTTGAACTGATGGGTGCCCTCATCGGCGCCAGGCTGATGGACTTTGTCAGACAGGCGTTGAGTCTGGAGAGCCCACAAGTCGTCTATTGGACCGACTCCATGGACGTCATCTTCTGGCTGAAGAGCAAGAAGAAGCTGAAGCTGTTCGTGCAGAACAGAGTGACCACCATCCTCCAGTTGACTCAAGCGGAGCAATGGCACCACGTAAGAGGACAAGACAACCCGGCCGACCTGGGGACGAGAGGTATGTCCATGACCGCTCTGGAGAAGTGTGATCTGTGGTGGCGAGGACCGACATTTCTCCGACAGGGACCTGATACCAGGATCTGCTGTGGACCGACAGTCGAGGCCGACAGTCTGCAGCAGTCTCAGGAGGCCACCAGTGAAGTGAAGCTGCAGAAGCCCCCGTTAAAGCTGACCCTGCTGACGACGCGAAGTGACACAAGTGAGACCCTACCGTTTGACATTACGTCATGTTCTACCCTCACACAGGCTGTGCTGAGGCTCGCGTGGGTGTTCCGTTTCGTCACCAACAGCCGCCTACCGAGGGAGGAGCGCCGGACGGGTCCGCTGACGCCCGAGGAGAAGAGACTGAGCCTCCGCTTCTGGATCAGAGAGGCACAGGCCCGTGCCTACAGAGAGGAGACCAACGCCGTACGTGCCGGTAGACTGCTGCCGGCCGGCTCACCGCTTCAAAAGCTGCATCCACAGCTAAGTGACGATGGCGTGCTGGAGGCGACGCTGCGCAGTGGGGAGCGGGCTGTGCCTGTGCTGCCCGATCTGGCCCATGTCACCACTCTGATTGTCGATGACGCGCACCGCCTCTGCTTCCACCAGGGGACGCGGGTAACCCTCTCCCTGCTGACTGCTGAGTACGCGGTGAGGAGACGCACGGTGCGTCGAATCGTTGAAACCTGTCGCCGATGCCGTCGTTACCGATGCGTACCGTACCGATCACCTGAGGGAGCACTGCCCAACTTCAGAACACAGCCGAGCCGTCCATTTGCCAAAGTCGGTGTCGATTTTTTCGGCCCACTGTACGTTGATCAGAGCCAGGCGAAAGTGTGGGTGCTTTTGATAACATGTGCCACTTCCCGTGCGGTGCACTTAGAGCTTGTTCGCTCACAGGCCACCGCTGACGTGATCCTGGCGCTGAGACGGTTCTGCGCCATCCGAGGGACGCCAGCTCTGGTGTACAGCGACAACGCTCGGACGTTCCGGGCCTTGCTTGGCCACCTACCCCGGTCGGTAACGTGGAAGTTCATCCCTGAGGCTGCCCCCTGGTGGGGAGGGTACTGGGAGCGTTTGGTGGGCGTGACAAAGAAGGCTCTTCGCATCACCCTACATCAGTGCCACCTGACGTTTGAGGAGTTGTCTGCCACGATGTATGAGCTCGCTTTTTTCATAAACCTGCGCCCCCTCACCCAGGGCGATGGTGAAGATCTCCTTACCCCCGCCCACCTGCTGTTCGGCGTGACGAGCATAGACGGTGTCTTGTGCCCAACATTGAAAGAGTGTTCCATCAGCAGGGCCTGGCGTCACCAAAAGCGGGTCTGCGACCATCTGATCCGGCGGTGGTGTGATGAGTACCGCAACGCTCTCCGCTGCTGGAGCGTCTCGCCCCGTGGACGACCTAGCCGTACACCGCGCGTGGGAGACGTGGTGCTAGTCCACAGTGAGAGGCCGCGCGGCCGGTGGCCTGTGGCGCGAGTGACGCGGCTGCTGGCGGGACCGGACGGCCACGTGAGGGCCGCCGTCATCAGCCTGCGCGGGCGGAGCACTCGCCGCCCTGTCAGCCGCCTGTTCCTGCTGGAGGCGGCGGACTGAGTCGGACTGAGTCGTACCGGTGCAGTGATCGGGACGAGTTACGTCGCCGCGAACTATCGCAGAGTGCTGTGCCTTTTGTCGTATTCATCGTTCTGTTTGTTTTTCGAAATCGGTCGTGCGCTCGATTTCGAGTGGGGAGTGTGTTGTGATTAGTAGCCTCTTACCTTTTTTTTACCTTCACCCGTGACCCGTGTTGATGTACCCTACCTTTCCTCACCCAGTAAAACTTTCCTCTATTTGCCCGCCCCTGTCCTGAATCCATCACTTTTTGTTAGTGATGTAATGCTTCCATTTTTCACCGAGCCGATTTCGTTTTGTTTTTATCCTTTCCAGTCGGTCTGGATCCATCTGTCGCCGTGTTACCGCTACCTGTAAAGTAATAAACCGGCAGAGAAGTTGACGTTGGAATTTCAAGTTGCTAACCAGAGGAATCGGCCTGTAATTTTAGCGTATCTACTACACCGACATGTGGCTGGACGATTACGACACTCCCGATTTCCGGGAGCGGCTGGCCGCCCTCTGGGCGGAGGTGGCGCCGCTGTACCGTCAGCTGCACGCCTTCGTGCGCGGCCGCCTCAGGGCCCGCTACGGGGACAGCGTGGTCAGCAGGATCGGACCCATACCGGCCCATCTGCTCGGTAAGGGACAGGGGAGGGGCAGTGGACCCACACCGGCCCACATTCTCGGTAAGGGAGGTATAGCCTCGGTGTCCGGTCCGGAGAAGAGGAGAGCCAGCTGCGGTCGTGGCAGGATAACTTTGTTGTAACTTTTTGTGAGTGCTCCAATCATCATCTGCATCTGGATGTCGCGCCAAAAGGACTACCGGGTGAAATGTTAGAGACCTCTTTACGAGTATCGTAACAAACGATTAAAAAGTCAATGACATAAAACAATTTATAAACGCATGCCAGGAAGGCTGCGAATGGAGGTACATAAAATGAGCATTGAGCAGAGCATTTATTAATGGTCCCGATGAGTGTTCCCCTTAGAACTGGATTGATATAACACAACAATTGTGTTTCCAGGGAACATGTGGGCCCAGACGTGGGGTAACATAATCGATATATGCAAACCGTATCCAGAGAAAAAGGCTGCCGACGTCTCCGCGCAGATGAAAGAAGCCGTGAGTAATGAAAGATAGCGCTGCCTTGAGGCTCATGATTGAAAATATAAATGTGATTAAAAACCTAAGCGAAGTATCATGCTAAAGTACATTTACATTTTACAAAATGGCCGAAAGCATTAGACAACAGTTTCACGCATAGCTCATCATCAGTTTTCTTAATGAGACCTGATGGTGCGCTATGCGCGAAACTATTGTCTAATTCTTTTGACCATTTTGTAAATATGCTTTAGCATGACGCATAACTTTTCATCACATTTATAAGCCGTGAGTATAATGCCCAGTATGCTCATTTTAAGAGGGCTTAAAACAGAGTTTGAAATAAAAAAGATGGAGTTATGTAAACGCACACCCAACGACTTTACAGAATACCAGGCTTTATGAGATTGCAGAACATTCGACCTTTGACCTCTGACGTTGCCCTGTTGCCGGTCAGGGGTACACGCCGGTGCGCATGTTCCGTCTCTCGGAGGAATTTTTCACGTCACTCGGCCTGGAGCCGATGCCGGACACCTTCTGGAACCTGTCGGTGCTGGAGCGGCCCGCGGACGGGAGGGAGCTGGTCTGTCACGCCAGCGCCTGGGACTTCTGTGACCAGCGCGACTTCAGGTCAGTCGCGAGCACAGTCAAATCGGATCGTGATAAGTAGTCGAGCATGGTTATAAATGGACAACTTGCATGGATTTGCATACCTTCATGGTGGGTTGCATATTGCACATTTTAGCTACAGTTGCACTTTGCACGTGCTCATGCGCAGGACTCGATCCGAGGACACCATTACGCTCGCTCGATCATCACAAAATGTCAATTATACATAGGTATCATTATTTTGTTTGCGCACGACCGCCTGGGGGATCGGATCCGACCCCCTCGCTTTTTCTTGTCTGTGTGCCGACAGGATAAAGCAGTGCACGGTGGTCTCGATGGACCAGCTGATAACGGTACACCACGAAATGGGCCACATTCAGTACTACATACAGTACAAAGACCTCCCGATGGCGCTGAGGAGAGGGGCTAACAGCGGTGAGTTTGCGTGCGGACCTGAGGTTACTATTAAAATGTTCACAGATGGGCACGATCCATTCCTTTCCTAATGGGCCTTCACTGCAATATTCAGAAACAGAGGAGCAGACTGGTTAATTAAAAATGGAACGGACCAAATAAGTTCCGTTCCAAGCTGGCGCTTTGTTCTTTTTTGTGCGATTTAGTAAGCTCCTCCATTTCTTAGTCGCTTTTGGTCATCTGAGCGGGTTGGTCTAGCAATTTATCGGCCCAGGTACTCTTCTTACAGAGAAATAACGTTACCTTTTCTTGAGGTCTATCCGAGCACAAGCTCTCCCATATAGGTAAAAGAAAAAAGTTAGTTTCGTTGCCCCTGAACGATCAAAGTAGGTCAAACATTTCTTTCTGCTTTTCAGGATTCCATGAGGCTTTGGGCGACACCTTAGCTCTATCGGTTCAGACCAGGAAACATCTGAAGAAGATTGGTCTTCTGAAGGAAGAAAAAGACGATCCTGAGGTCAGTTCATTCATCTTATTACTGGCGGCTCACTCAGCCGCATTTTGGGCACTTATGACGTAGATACGTGACTGCATGACGTGTGTGGTACATTTTTGCGCTTCGGTTGCGATCAACAGAAGAAAATGGTATTTCGATTCGGAAGGCACGTTTAGTCTTCCTCCATGGCCATTTACAGTGGGAGATATGGGAGAGTTGAGAAACACGCAAGGAGCTTCTCAGCTCCTAATATACATGATACAACCTAAAGTATTGGCTATCAAAGCGACTTTCTCTGGTAACCGAGGAATATCCCTCCAACGACGAGACAAACGGGGAAAAGACTGACTTATGATCATCGCCAGGTGGATCTGAACTTCCTGATGCTGACGGCGCTGGACAAGATCGCCTTTCTGCCGTTCGGCTACCTGATCGACAAGTGGCGCTGGGACCTCTTCTCCAACGTGACGTCGCCTGAGGACCTGAACTGCGCCTGGTGGCAGCTGCGGGAGGAGCTGCAGGGCGTGAAGCCGCCTCAGCCGCGCTCAGAGGCCGACTTCGACCCCGGCGCCAAGTACCACGTGCCCGCCAACACGCCCTACGTCAGGTGGGTGGGCTGCCTTGGCCAGTAGGTAGGTGCGGTGAGCAATTAGTTTCACGCCCTAGTTAAATCTTCCTCTTCGTATGTGATAGTAAGCTCAATCTTTTGCGGCTTATACAACATTTTGCTTTTCGTCAGCAGTCATGTGTAATAATAAAACTTTCACCCACTGTTTACTTTCCTACCCTCACGTTTCCGCAGGTACTTCGTGGCTCGGATCCTGCAGTTCCAGTTCCACAAGGCACTATGCCAGGCGGCTGGAGAGTACGACCCACAGGATTCCAGCCGACCTCTACACCAATGCGACATCTATCAAAGCAAGGAGGCCGGAAAACTACTGAGGTACGAATTACTTTCCGTAGAAATTCATCGACTCTAGGCTTTTTTATTTTCCAGTCCCTCAACAAAGCTGAACTGTCCCGAAAGTGGGTGGATGATCTTTTGTTTGATCATTGGTGAAGTCTCGAGTATATAAAGAGTCACGCTCGACGTTTTCCACTAGTCCGCCTCTGCTATTTGATGTCTTTCTCTGCTCTACCGTCGCTCTGGCCAATCCTTTCATGATTCATCACCTCACATTTATCGTTGACAATACACCGGGTGCACACTGCACGCTTGCTCTTTGCCTAGCCTGCTTTACGCGCCCTATTTCCAGCGCCATGATGCGCCTGGGCCATTCTGTACCGTGGCCGGACGCGCTGGAGGCCATCACGGGCCAGAGGGCGATGGACGCCTCCCCGCTGCGCGAGTACTTCCGACCGCTGGAGGAATGGCTGACGAAGGAGAACGAACGGACCGGCGAGACGGTCGGCTGGAAAAGCGGTACGTATATAATATATGCATAAAAGGGATACATAACTGCTCACTTGACTGTAACTTCTTCAGCTCATGTTTGGACGTTTAGTAACAGTATGTTAAGCATTCGATGACATGAGCCAATATTTTTGCGATTCGAACCATTAGAATGGGGGCACTAAAAAACAAAAGGGTAACGGGCCGCGGGCGAGTGTCGTTTACCTATCATTATTTTATGTTCGTACATTTTAGTGGACTAACTACTGTGTACTGTGTTTTTCTTTAAATCATTTCAGACGGTCCCGTTTGCACGAAGACGCCAGAAGCAACATGATCTGGTCGTAAATAGTCACCTTAGGACGGTTAATGCTTCGTGTAGACACCATATTAAGTGATCGTGGCACCGGCTTTTTCTGTACATGGGTAGGTACTCTCGCCACAAAAAGTGCAAGAATAAGTGCAATGGGCATGTTTCGATGATGCATCAAGAAAGTTACGTTTTGCTGCTCTTTACATGCTTGGTGAACGAATATATTGTTAGGTAAAAAGTCAATGGAGTTTGGCATGTTTAACCCGCGCACCGACGGGGGGGGGCGGATATCCGCCCCCCCCCCCTGAGTTTTTTCGCGAATAGCGGGAAAACCGCGGCGCGTAGCGCCGCGAAATTTGGTACGACTATTACCTCATCAATTTTACACATGGTGTGCAAGTTTGAACCTCCTACCTATTAAAGGGACCCTCCCACCTTCAAAAAAGTTAATGAATTGGCATGAAAGTGATGTCCCTTGGTTCAGAAAGAGCGAAAACGAATATCTACCAAATTTCACCGAAAAATATTCACTGGTTTTCAAGATATTAGGCTTTTACTTTTGTTTACTTTTTGGGATCTCCCCGGTTACTAGCGACTTTATTTGGAAGCAATAATTTGGCAGCCTTAAAGTGCGGCAGACGTTGCGCGCAAAGCAGCGTATACCACCACGTGTTAACGATGGTTTTAGTCTAAGATTTAAAAATCGTTAGATCTCCGCTGACGTCACAAATTCTAAGGGGGCATTCCAATGCATTAGCCCCTTAGAATCCGAAAACTGCAAGTTTGAAATTCCATATCTTCGAATTAAAGCATTTTTCGATGTTGTGAGTGCCCAAACCGGTATTTGCAGGCCATGGCCACCAATTTGGCTATCTCAACTCAAAACTAATGTTAAGGTGGGAGTGTCCCTTTAACCCGCGCCCTGCTGGGGGGGGGGGTGTTTGAACACCCCCCCTTGTGGTTTTTTCGCGAATATCTCAAAAACGGCGGCGCGGAGCGCCGCCGTTTTTGGTACACCTTATCATACATCAATTCTACACATGTTGTGAAAATTTCAGACCAAGGTCATTCAAGGTCAGGTCACCAGGTCACTTGAAGTGACCTCACCTCATAAAAACTTTCAATGTCTGTCATAGCTACACCGAGTGACCGATCGCTTTGAAACTTTCAGCGATTGCTAAGGGCAATAGCATGTACAAAATGTATATCTCAGAATTTTGATATCGATGACCTAAGGTCAGGTCAATTTTGCGACCTCCCCATTATAAGTCAATGGGAGAAAATTGAAATGAGCCTCTTTTGGATGAAAGACATTATAAACACTCCCAAACACCGAATTACAAGTGTTTTAGACACACTGAACTTGAAAATGGTGTCCGTGACCCTTGTTTATGCCCTGAGGTCATCTCAGGTCACGAATGGTATCTAACAGTTTTTCGCAAATAACTTTTGATAGAGGCATTCTAGAGCGATGAAAACGCCTTAGATGTGTTCAGCTCGACGATACGGATCGACTGATATGCAACATGACCCTTTCCGGTCAGGTCATGACCTTGACCTGAGGTCAAATTTTCAAGTTGACCCTTCAAGGTCAAGTTATAGTTCATTCGATGCGTCTTGACGAGAGGAACACGATGGCGGTAAAAGTAAGCTCGTACAAGGCTTGGGTCAAAAGTTATTGCAGAAAAACTGTTTTCGAAAAAAATCGGCTATTTTTGCAGTTTTTGCCCCCTGCAGGCAAAACCGTTGACGTTAGGTCAAATCTGAGAGAATTATTCAGAAAGGGCGTTAATAGGGCTATCGAATGCGCTTTTCCGCGGCGCTGTAGCTCTATTGGTTCCCGAGTTATGCGTTGGCTTCTTGGAAATTTTCGACATTCGACCTGGAAATCGGCGAAATTTTGCCTTCAATGACCTCTGGTGACCTGACCTTTGCCCTGACCAAAAAATTGACCGAAGTGATTTCGTCATTATTTTTGACGCTCTTTCGAACGCCGCCTTCCGCGTATCGCTACGTGGCCCAGGAGCCGAGTTAGAAGGGGGGGGGGGGGTGTTCAAACACCCCCCCCAGCAGGGCGTGGAAATCCAGGACCCCCAGCAGGGCGCGGGTTAAGGTCAGGTCACCAGGTCACTTTGAATGACCCAACCTCAAGTCACTTTTTTGCAACTTTGTCACCGTGCCAGAGCTACAGTAGATGTCGGAGGCCTTTGAAAGTCGCAGGATGTTATTAGGTCATTAGTAGCTACAATTTGTATATCTCGGAATTTTGATATCGGTGACCTAAGGTCAGGTCAATTTCGCGACCTCCCCATTATAAGTCAATGGCGGAAAAATCAACTCCCTGTTTTTTACCACTAAAACGGGTCGGAATGGCCCCATATACCATATATGACTTCATATACGATCAACCTTCACTACCTTGAGGTCTGTTTTGCTGTTGGGCAGCTGTGAGGTCATGTGACGTCATCAAAGGTCACCAAAGGTTTTTGGCCAATAACTCCGTACAGGAACAAGATACAGACGCGTGGATGGTCTCATTGTGTTCAGCTCGTCAAGACGCATCGAATGATATACATGATGACCTCGAGGTCACGTGACCTGAGGTCAACCTTTGACCTTGACCTTTCGAGGTCAACATATATATCATTCGATGCGGATTGACGAGAGGATCACGATGATGCCCTTAGTTTGTTCCTATCTTGACTAATTCGAAAGTTATTCGAGAAAAACTCTCCATATCTAGCGCCGCCATTTTGACTTTTTCGACCCCTGTGACGTCATCTTTGACCTGACCTGAAAATGACCTTAGTAAAAATTGTAGATCTTGACCGTGCGTATCCGATGCCGTTTACCGCTTGTCGCTATCTTGCTTCGTTCTCGAGATCTCAGGGGGGGGGGCGGTCATCCGCCCCCCCGTCGGTGCGAAGTTGGCGCAGACCCCCGTCGGTGCGCGGGTTAAAAATAATCCGAAAAAGACTCAATTACCTCAGATATTTTGGCAAAATAAATGGGCTGTATGTAGACAAAAATATAATCATCGATTATTCGCGTATGCTCTGCTGATGAGGCGGGCGGACTATTCACTAGATGTCACATTCAGCATAGGAATAAGGGCAGAAAGAAATGAACGTACTTATCTTTGAAATCAGCGTAGATAATTCGCCGAAAATGCACAATAAAATCATCGTAAGACTTAAAAACCTGAGCTGACGTTAACATGGCGACAGAGGTCGCCGTGTTATAACGCTGACCAGCCATCAGCATAAAAGAAGTTGAAGTCCGGACAGTCCAGTCTTATATTTGCCTCTTTTATATCACGATATCATTGTCGGTTTTATATCAATTCATGTCAGATACCATTACGTCTTTCCACTAGTTTCAACTATCATTCTTCACACACTACATAAGTGCGTTTCAGTACAATGTTCACAAACGCAAAACTCACAGCAGCTACAAATAAGGGAATGCCGGTGGCCATAGCGAAAAGCAGTTACGAGCCGCGCACATTTTGCCTAGAATATGACGATGTGACGCGTTTAGCTCTTACATTAACTCGCTAAAAATTAAAATCTAGCCTATGGTGGGCTGGAAAAATCTTTGATCACGCCATACCAACACCGTCACTACCAAACTGCACTCAGCACGCTGGCACAAACATCATGTGATACCAAGCAACAGACCGCAGATTCAAACTAGTGTTACATGGCTGACTCCAGTGACGTCCCAATGCAGTCATCCCCAATGCAGTCATCCCCAATCTCCAATGCAGTCATTGGAGTTGTCGCCGCCAAAGTGTCACTGTACAATGATACACAGCAAACTCATTGGCAACATTTCATAACCTTTCGACCGAATTTGAATGAGTGACAACTGACAACACACTTCACTTTCACGCGGCACACTACTCTATAGCACTGGCTCCGTTCTGTCGCAGTATCACTGTCGTGCGACAGTGTCGCAGCCACGCGGCACATCACTGTCGCTTCTTCACGTAGATCGGTGGAGGTTGCGCCGCCGCTACCTCTACCTCATCGGCCCCAGACCCGGCGCCGACGGCGACGACGGGGCTCGCGGAGGGCGCCGCCGTCTTGGCCGGGGGACGCGCCGGTGGCGGGTCGTCGGCGTAGCTGAGGTAGCGCAGCAGGAAGTATCCCTCGGCGACCAGCACCACCAGGGCGGCGGCCAGGCCGGCCAGGATGCGCGTGGCGGTGCTGGCGCCGCCGGCGGCCACCGCCGTGGCCATGTAGCCGAACAGGAAGGCGGCGCCGACCGAGAACACCACCTGCCCGACCTCGACCAGCTGGGCGTTCACCTCGCGCACTGCGGCCGGCCGCGGGCGAACGGGGGGTGAAGGGGGAGAACACAGAGGAGACGAGCAGACAGGCAGAGAAGAAGGCAGAGAAAAATAGACAAAAAGGTCGAAGCAGATATAAGAGAAAATGACTGCACTTAATTATCCATAGCGCGAGCAATCGCCTAAAGATATATGCAACGGTGTAACGGCACACGTAAATCCAAAAGGTCCATTTGTCTATTTCTGACCACCATGGAATAGTCTTTTCTTCGTCGATACTTAACTTAGTGAACTACTTCCATCTGACGGTTTAATTCATCAGGGACGCTCGTTCATTGTGGGTGTAAATCATACTACAAGGATCGTAAATAACGCACGACACTTACTTAAAGACGGGCAAAACGATTATAACCCAATATTATCAATATTGTACACGTGCAGATATAATGGTAGCAGACAAGGAACGATTATATCACACCAAGTCATATAATTGACTCCGTTATTTCATCTTAACTACAGCGGATAACCAGTAGTGAGATATTGGTTGCTTTTGACTATATTTTACTTACCAAAGACGTCATCGGACTATATAGTTTAAACCTTTTCTATCTCACTGTTCCGCGGATCTCGGATCAAAGGACATGGTCGCCAACAACCAAAGCGAGCGTGATCGGAAAGGCGACGAGAAGCCCTCAAGGAACAGCTCAAGGAAAAATAATAAACGCAGGCAGCGGCAGGTCAACTGAACGGACTATCAGCATAACAACAGATGGGCTTCAAGCGTCTCAAGGTCTTTGGGCACGCTCGGGCGCGACGGTTGGCGGATAATGACAGCGAATAATAAAGTCAGGAAAGGGGGAAAAACTATTTGGAGGCAGAGTTTGGGTTCCGGTTCATAAATGACCTGTGCTCTGCTGATCAGAGAAAGTCTTCGTAAGTTAAGTATGGCTAATGCAAGTGTTCAATCCTATTTCTACGAAGGTAAAGACAACGCTGTGTAGGAAGTAAGAAGGAGTGAGAAAGTATCATTGAACACTTACTCTGTTTGCCGATTTCGAGGGAGGGTTCTTTGAAGCGGTTCGAGTCCACGTTCCGGACCATTTTGCGGTAGGAGCGCTCCTCTTGCTCTGCTCTCAAACGCTGACACCGTGCCTGTGAGCACAAGAAAATGGGAACGTGTAACACACTAAACATTTCTGAGCATGGAAGCCTTTTAGATCGAGAGCTGCCATGGTGTCATACATCGCGGGTAACAGTGACCTTTCGGCACTCGGCACTCGGCAGTCAGGAAGAGCTAGATATTGATGCGGGTGATAAATCATATAATCTAACGAAACATGTCGCAGACATTCTGGACAGATCGTCACATATACATCTCGAACGACGGTGGTCGAACTGTACCCAAAATGATGCTTTCCGGTACACGATAATTACGTGGTTCCCACTTCCAATAGATTCAACGAGTTATGACCGTTTCATCATTCAATCGAAAGACAAACATTCCCCAAATCTGCTGCCATCCAACACCCACCTCCAGTTCGGGGTTCCGTTCCTGTGTGACCGGCGAGGGCAGCTCCATCGTCCCGCCGGCCAGCAGGTCAAACAGCGGCTCCTGCTGTCCCTCTGCGGTCAGCCGCTCCCGCAGCCAGCGCACCGCCTCCAGACTGAGACCGCCCCCGGCGGGCCGGTCCAGCCAGCGGCGCACCGCGGCCGGCACAGCGTCCGGCGGCAGCGGCCCCACCAGCAGCCGCACCGACTCGCGGACAGATTCAGACGGGTGCAGCTCCATACTGCTGCCGGGAAACGGAGCAGTAACGGGGTCACGGCGGTACCTGGAGGGAAGGTAGGTCACGGAAGTCTCCGGTATAGAGGCTAGGTCAATGAATCGATGCTGGGTGCTTTTTATTATAGAAAAGAGATGAACTACTTATAATCAATATTCTCTCCACTTACGACTACACCTTTTGTCAGTTTATTTCGGTACGTGCGCGTCCATTTTAGACCTAGCGGATTCTTTGTAGACATACCGCAAGGCTATGTATCAGTTAGCATTGCATGTCGGCCGTTTATAGCGGTGATCGGCATTAGAGCATTTAATTTCGGCGCAGCAGCAAAAGACGCCCGGTTTTGGCGTGTCCGCATTGTATTTCGGCGATGCTGTTGGAGATTGGAGACGGCCGCACGATATTTAGAACAGCAGCAACCAAATTCGGCGATATTCATTCAATTTCGGTGGCTATTTGGAAGCAAGCAGAGACTTCTTGCTTACAAAATTAGCTTGTTGAAGCATTGTTATTCAGTCAAACGTTTTTCAAGGTATTTACTGTTGCCACTGTCTCATTGTCTGGACTTGAGTGCATGCCTCCAGCCCTCCACCCTCTCCGTTATGGCCGAATATTCCTCTCGCCATCGCCAGCGATGAGCATGATTTCATGTCCGTGCTTTCTGTGGGTTAAACAAAGCATTACAATGTGCCTATTAATTTCTATCAAGGAAGTACAAATAACATAAGTTTATAGGCACCTGCTTAAAACGAAGCTAGCGGAGAACAAAACCAGGCCGACGGGGTACGCGACTACTGAACTTTGACCCCGCCCATGCGCCAGAGACGCCCGTCGCCCGGTGTCGTCGCGCGGTTGTTGAAAGGATGCGCCGAGCGCCGGATGGACAGTCAGATGCTCAGGGAGGGGGGGGGGGAGAAAAATACACCTGCCGCAACTACGAGTCTTGTCCATGGGACGGGTTAGAATGTTGGCGCTAAGCCTCTGGGTCTGGTGGTGTTCGTGGGGGTGGGGTGGGGTGAGGGGAGGCGTGATGATACGATACGGAATGATTAATTTATTTTCGTGTCCTTCTGCACACAGTAGGTAAGGGATGCTTGATATTTCACGCTGGCAGTTGATTAATAGGAGATGATTACAGGAAGTGCAACGATAACCGATTGGTAGGACTTATTCTGGTATGGCTGAGCTAATTGTGTTATGTTTGATGACGAGGTGATGGGTTGCTTTCAAAGTGAAGTAAAATAACAGGTCTTTTGATAAAATGGGTTCATGTTTTGGGCAAAAACTTGGCACACAGTGACAACAGCACAGACGTGCTTCAATGAAGGAGAATCGGGGCTTGCCTCGAGTCCAACAACGATTGGCGTTTGCCTTGTCGATCGTCGTCCGCCATGTGCGGACGGAGCGGGTACTGTAATATAAAAAAGAAACCAGCCCACCACAGATGTTATCTTTTTAGGATAAATAGTACTAATTCAGTAAAGTTTATCAATTTTCACTTCAGAATTCGAAACGGGAAACAGCGAAACGATCTTAGGTAGGTACTGTGACGCTAAACAAACAATGGCCTGCTTTTCTCCCCCTGAGAATATCTCAAAGCCATAAAGCTGTATGAGGATTCATTTGATGCTCAAGAAGCGTTCCTGAAAATATGAATCACCTGGGTGCCTCCGGTTACCCGCCGAAATTGAATGAACAGTGCCGAATTTGGTTGTTACTGTTGCTAAATAGCGTGCGCTACCTCTAAACCTGTGCTGGCGCAGCCGATTCTACTTGCGCTATCGCTGAAAATGGAGCGTTTTGCCGCTGTGCCGAAATTGAATGCTTTACCGCCGACTGCCTGACCTGCGCCGAGATATTATGTGATTCTTGTACATAATATTGCGGTGTGTCTACACACATTTCGTTAGTTCTAAAATGGACGATTACGCCCCGAAATAAACTGACAAAAGGTGTAGATACCTATTTAAGCTCAACCATTGCGTGAATAAAAAACATTACCCAATATAAACGAAAAAAAATAAGGCATCCACAGAATTGGCATTGCCGGTTCCCAATCAACTTATGACCTGGGAAGCAGCAGTCTTGAGACTGCACATCATCTCAGCTTATGCCAGCAGTGGTGCCACATTTGTCGGTCTCTGTCAGACTCGGTAACCCCACCTCACCGGCTCACCTCAGTTCTACGTCAGTTTCTGCTGTGCCCGTCGGTAGTAGTCGCGCAGTTCGGCCTCCTTCCGTTCAAACTCCTCGTCCACCTGAGCGCGCGCCTGCTCCAGTTCAGTGAGGAACCGACCCCAGCTCTCCTCGCGCTCGATCTGCAGCTCGGCTACACGGTCCTGCAACTGTGGGGCCGAGCTCAGCGTCAGCGGCGGCCAGCCCGCGGGGTAGGGTGTCCGGGGTGGCAGGGGAAATGGATGAAACAGGAGATCGGCGGGCTCCAGTTGCCCAAATGAATTGCTGGATCCTATATTTGTTACAATCAATGAACTGAGAGGAAAAGAGTATGCATACCAGCAGTCTTAATGTGCATCAAATAATCTTCACATTTTCAGTGGCAGATACAACCACTTAAAATGTCCCAAAATGACATAACCAAAGACCTTTATTTGCTCACTCATTATTTAGATATTAGGATATGCCACCTTTTCGTTGTTGGCTGGTGCTTTGATGAGTGCACGGCACTGTGCCTCCAGCAGTGTGGCGTCCTCCTGCAGGCCGGGCAGGCTCTCCTGCACCAGAGCAGCACAGCCGCCGACCAGCTCAGAGTTGATCTGATTCAGCTGGGCCAGCGGGTCAGCCAGCGATGGTGCACACCCCTCTGGGTGCTTTGACTACCAGCACACAGACAGAGACCAGTCAACAATGGCTATGAATCAGCCTCAACACAGGCAGTGTGCCTGTCAGCATGTGTGATGCCTTTGGTCTAAATCACTACCACATCCTTGTCATAGCAAGGATCACTAGCTAAAGCAAGCACATTGCAGTAAGTTCCTACCTATCTTGCTGCAATGACTTGCATTGCAATCAGTAGTTGGCACTGGCAGCTTGCAACTGCTCAGTTTAGTTGACCTGATGTCTGCCACTGCAGGTATTTAGTATAGAGATATCAGCAGGCAATTAATGCCAATTAAAAGAGTAGAAAGCTAATGATAATAATAAGAGTTCTGAACTTTACAACTACCTACACTAATCCTGATATCTGACATTTGCTGGACCAAACATCAATGTCCTTCATTATTCCTTTAACTGAATGTGCATTAACTACAGTCTAACCAGTTCAGTGGAATTCTCATTGGCTTTTTATTTACATCCAGCTAATCTTGTCCAATGACTTGATAGCATGAATGATTATGAATGTTGCCTGAACGAATGAATAAGTGAATGTGGAATCTGAATGTTACCAAATGCCATGAATGCGCATTCTCAGCATTTGGTAAGATTGGGGCCCTGGTCTAGCCTGATTTTAGCCTTTATACTATTGGAGCTCAACAGAGCCATATTTGCCAGCAGATACTTACCTCAAAATTATGAACAAATGACTTGATTTCACCCCTCAGGAATGGCCGGTGATCAAACAGCCGAGCCCACACCTCAATTGCGTGTTCTGTGAATAACCATTGTCAATTACAATCACTATTAACAATAAACAAGTTAAGTAGGTACATATAGTCTCACTGAAAAAGGCACTTTCCGCCTAAGTTAAGAGTACTAGGGTTAAATGCTTGTCTCGAACTTATCTATCTCATTTATGAAATAAAGAACGAAACTGAAATAGGTATCGTCATGTCAAATCAAATGTATTTCAGTGGCACAAAAAATGTTAAATTACGTACCTACAAAATGATATCAGTTTACTCACCAAGTATATCCTTTTTCTCTGTCATTACATATCTTCGGAGACCAGACGAAATTAAATTATTCGTTGGCACCAAAAATGAAATTAATTCGGAATAAAATCAAATTAGTCATACGTTAATCATGTTTGGACCAAGTTTGGACCAAGTGTTTGGACCATTGACCTCTATTGTTTGGACCAAGATTCGGTTTTGACGCAGTTTAGACATTTGAGGCTGGAGACGGGATCAAAACAAGTAGCTTTGAATAATAAATAACAAATGACGTCATAAAAATAAAATCAACACTTCCCGGCACGGGCTTCTCTGCTCGTTCTTCAATCACCGGCTCCTAAAACTGCAACAAAATCAGCACTTTTCCCCGCAACTCGTTGTCCAGACGTAAATATGCCGTTCTTCAGTGCGATCGCTAGAAAATGCTATTTATAGTCACCGTGGAAAATGCTATTTATAGTCACCGTGGAAAATGCTTGTTTTTCATTCGTCCGTATGTTTACGTCAGAAAACCATGTCGTAAACTTTTCCGAGAGGAACAATCAACTATCACGTGATTTTCTCCTGACAGTCATAAATGACGTATCTTGTCATTTATAGTCCCAAAGACAGAGCATTTGAAAGTGAATTAAATGTGATTAAACGGATCAAAGAGACTAGAGAGAATGTATGAAATGGGACCACTTTGCATAAGAACAACGAGACGTTTTCACATTGTAATGTGCAGTGCGTTGAATTCCACTTTTTTCGTTTTCAATCTGATACAGAAATGCTAAAAAGACTTATTAGCCTGGTATTGATAAAAAATAAAAATTGAATAACTTTACATCTAAATTAACGTTGAATGTAAAAAGAAGCATTTTCAGATTATGATGACGTCATTTGTAATGCTTTTGCGGAAAATATCAAGCAGGGTCTAAAACGGAGTTGTTGTTTTTGTCAAAGAGGGCGCATGCGGGCTCTGGTATTAACTGGATAATTCGCCAGCTGACGCCGTATGGTGGCGCTAGTGGAGCAGCACCATATGACGTCAGCAGAAAACACCGTGAGCAGCTATGAAATGGGAGCGAGCACCACGGAAATATCGAAAGGTGATGGACATGTACTGACTTTGGTCATTCAAGTACCACCAACACCATACAAAAACCAAATAGTATCATCAAGACTGATTCTGGAATCGATTCGTTCGGGTATTTAAAACACACAAAAAATGTTTGTTACCGAATTCTGAAACAGTATAAGGATATTCTTGTTCCTTACTTTTACCTTGTGGAGTACTTTTACTTGCTTTCTAGTGCGCCCATCACTATCTTGAAATCTGGATTGCAACGCTGTAGGAAAACTTTTTTTTTCATTTGTCATTTCTTCCACTTTTGAGCAGTGATAATTTATTTGGTTTTATACATTAAATAATGAAGACGGCTCCTAACTTTTTAGGGATCTGCAGTGGCCCAGAGAGCAAAATCAGATATTTTCTAGAAACTTGAGGCCACTATTTTCTTACCTGCTAGATAATATACAAATATTGACATGTAAAGAATGATACGGGTGTATTATTCTGCAGAAATATCAATTCAAAGTATTTAAATTTTTCAAGAACCTTTTTAAAATCTTACATAATGACTTCTTTTAATACAAGCTGGAAGCAATTTCAATCAATAAAGCAGCACAAGGCAGTACATTGAGCTACGATGATCCATAACCAATCGGCACCTGCAATTTGATTGATCTTCGAGATGTACCCTGCCTCTGTTCCCTGACTTTCCCTTTTCGTTGTAACGGGTGAAGTGAATATTCTGTGAATATTCTTCTGACAGTCAGTTTTTAGTCCTACATTACGTTGTCAATCAGATTTAATTGGTTCAAAAACCGTCGTAGTCCGTCTCATTCGCAGTCTACATCTCCACATGCGCACCCATACATGCTCAAAATTTTCACTACGCATGTACTATGTACCCTGTAGCGTATCCTGATGAAAAATGTTTTGTTGAAATCAGAGACACTTCCCAAGGTAGGCCATAGTCCATGGCCATATATTTAAGTCAAAACAGATGAAACAGATAAACACAATTCCAATCATCAAGTCAACCAGCATCGACAATCTGCACATAAGTTCTAAACCTATTGTAAGACTACATTGTATTCAAACTTTGTATTGCAGAAGGGTGGAAGCTGCATGGAATTATGCGACAATTTCAGCGTGCATCCACGCTCGAAAGAGCAGGGTTAATTGTAACAATGTCAATACCATAACAATAACGTAATTGTAGGTGTTGTGATTCGGTTGTCTCTTGTCTGTGCTGGCCATTGCGCGGGCGGTCCAGCGGCGGAACTCGGCTTCGCCGCCGTGGCGTGCTGGCAGTTGCTTCTTCTTCTTCTTCTGCATCCCATCGCCAACTCGCTCAGGGGGCGGCGGCGCAGGCGGGTCGAGCGGCGGCTCGGTCCGCCCAACATCCTCGATGAAGGTGACGACCTTCGTCGCCGGGCCGCCGAGGACGTCGACCAGGCGAGGGTCGACACCCCAGCGGCGGCGGCGGGCCGCCTCATAGGCCGGACAATCGGTCAGTAGGTGCGCCGCGCTGTCGGGCTCCCCGCACGCGGGGCATTCGTCGTCGGCTTCCGGGCCAATCTTGTGGAGCGTGTCACGGGTCAGCGGTGATGTGCCGGTCCTCAGCTGGGACAGCGTCACCGACCCCAGCGCGCCAGGGAGTCGTGGCCAGGCGTGGGGTCCGGGTGCGGGTGGGCAGCAGTTGCCCTCTGTCGCGACAGCTCTCGGACATGGCGCGTGACGGCGGCCCGCGCACTCGACAGGTCGATCGGTGCGCTGTCTTGGTCGCCCGCCGTGGCCTCGCCAGCCAGGCGGTCGGCGGTTTCGTTGCCGTCCAGCCCGGCATGGCCTGGCACCCACTGGAGCACCGTCTCGGTGCCGTTCTCGGCGAGGGTGCTCAGCACTCAGCAGCCTCCACACCTCGGCGGCCAGGGCCATGGTCTGGTTAGCTGGGCCGCGGCCGAGTAGTTGGAGCCCAGACCTTGAGTCGGTGAGGAGGCGGACCGACTTGGTCGATGCCAACTCCCCGTCCCCCAGGCCGGCCACAGCCGCGAACGCCTCGCGCATGGCGGTCAGTTCTGCTCTTAGGCTGGAGCAGACCGCCCCTGCAGGAGCGCGCACGGTCCCTTCTCTGTTGAGGTGGTGGAACTGGATCAGCGCCTGCGCCGCCCTGTTCCGTCCGCCGCGAGCCGAGCCGTCCGACCAGATAGTGACGTCCGGGTGCGGGAGCTCTGCAATGGCTCGCAGGGCAGCTTCCCTGCGGACTGCAGGCGGGTCCGACCGGCAGGTGGCCACGGGCAGGTCCACCCTGAAGGTGATGCCGCCGCGGTGGCCCAGCCATGGCGGGTCGCAGCTGTAGAACGCCGAACCTGTAACACAATAGAATTGCAATTGTAACAAAGACCTGCATGGTCAGCACACATCTGCAGTGACTGTCATCCCAAGTTGGTATGAATTGGCACAAAGTTGGGTCATGGTAGCAGACGTAGCACAAGCTGTTGTGATATGTCATACCGTAGGACTAGGTCGTAGGTTGTAAATTTTAGGTTTAAGGCTGTATGTTGTAGGTCAGGTCAGGTAAGGTTTGGTTAGAAAGACCCATTCTCGTGCATCGGGCAGCTTGTGCTACATCTACCTTACCAATACCCAATTTGGATTCCCAAAATTGATGGCAAACAGGCTTTTTGTATAACAAGTGTGGTTAATTGTTCTAATCCCCGCTGCAATGTGAGGGTAACTGCTTTTCTACAATCACAAAATTTGAATTCATATAGGTAGGTGTTTACATGTTGATGTTCAGAAAATGATACAAAATATAACACAATTATAGCTGCAACTGGATAGTGGATACCAACCTCAACTAAAAGTTTCTGCAGCCTTATAACCTAACAAATGACTAAATTGCCAAAATAAATCCCTTAGTACAATAGCTTGACTCTAAAATAACAGAAATTTAGCATGCAGACCCTGAAATGGAGGGTTTATGAAAAGCAACAAAAATAAACATTCACTAATATCAATATGTTGTTATAAATTTCATATGTAGCATAAGCGCCAATACTGCCTTCATTTACAATGTTGCTACTGTTTTCCACTCACAAACGCTGCCCTCCGTGGACAGCAGCAGCAGCAATGAAACGTCACCCGTGGTGTGACATCATCACCCATGACGTAATGGAAATCCAGTTGTTACCAAGGCCCGCGCATGCTCGCATTTCCACGCGCACGAGGTCCGTGACGGGTCGGCACCGTGGAACGTAAGTACTGAGTTTGAGTTTGCACTGCGGTCTTTGCATTGCGGACCAGGGCCACCCAGCCCTTCCCAACCCAAGCACTCCCTGCGCCCGGCTACGGATGGCTTCCTCAGGAGCTGCGCCGCGCTTCAAGGGAGCAGCCTGAGCCCGCATGGGATGAAGTTGCCTGTCCAGCCCGGACTAGGGTTGCGGCGTGGAAAAGAAGGATTTCAGTATCCTGAGGATAGATACGACGGAACGGGTGATGATTGACCTTTGCATTCTGGGTGCCTCTACCGCCCTTCGACCCCTACCCGTACACTGCGACGCCCCTTCCTGCCAGGTTCCCACTCCCACTCCCGCCCCAGCCCGCCGACTTGCCGGCGGTCATTAGGTAGGACCGTAGGTACTCTTTAGGTACGGCTCTCGCGAGATTAAGCTGTAGGTTTTGCACTTTTACATTTCCGGTTATATCTCAGAAACTAATCGATCTAATCTACGATGAAATCGTTTTACACGACCATGGCCGGCTTGTGAACCAACAAGTCGATCGCATCTTCAACACTTAAATGATTAAGACGACGAAGATATAGCCTGAAGTATACTAATTTGTCTAGGTGCAAAACCTACCGTTAAAACCCGCGAGACCTGTACCTCATCGGTCCGTACTACTGGCCGTGAACTGCCCCTCCCTCCCCCCTCCGGTCGTGGAGGTGCGATTGGGGGAAGGGGGGGGGGGGGCTGCAAGTTGATTCCGACAATGTCTTGGGGGGGTCTTTGCAGTTTGCTCCCGGTAAGTTGAAATCGAACGATCTAAAGCTGTCTATGTCCCTTCAAATTTAGTACAAACACTGCCGATACGGGATACCGACCATTTGGCTGACTTTAACCCACTCTTTTTTTCCAGCACCAAAATGGTCCAGGCTTGGTACATGGCTGACCTGTCTGCAGACGACGACCAGCGCTTGCCCCACAAAACGGAGCCCTTCGAGGAACTGTCGCTGGATCAGCTGAAGGAGAGGACTGGATGCCTGTACTGGAAGGTATGTCAATTAACATCGCCTTGTCCACAGTGTTTTTTTTTTTTGTCCAGCGGCCCTTGTTCTGATTGTTTCCCGTCCCCCAGATTGAAGACGAGGACGTTGAGAACTCGCCTCTGGTGGAGAAGATTCGCCAAGAGCGTGGCTACAACTATAAGGACGTCATCACTGT